GATATTTGTTATTTTTTCCTAGCTTTAAGAATTTGCATTTTCCCTCGTCCAGAAACGGTCAAAGAATAATAAGATTTTACTGGCGTGTTTGCGTGCATTTTATTTCTTTGAAAGAACTATATTTATGTTGGGTTAGATATAAACGAGTATTTTCAATTTTTAATCTTGAAAAAGACCATAATTAAGAGCATTTAGAATAACGATGTCAACGTTGAACACTGTTAATTAAATAAAGAATATTTCCAATTTAAAACTGAATAAAATTTAACTACAAATTTCCCTTCAAAACCAGCGATTTTCTAGAGCTACAAAAGCTTCTAAGCCATGTTCAACTGTTGTGATGATTGAATAAAATAACCGAAATTATAAATTCGTTTTATTTTTGACTTCTCCTAATTTTTCTTTTTGTTATAATTATGTCAACCGGAATACTATGTTAGAGCTCAAAAACTGGTAAAATACTTTTTTCTAAAACTTTTTAAATCTAGAAAAATGCACTTGGATCGCAACGCAGCAAGGATTCATACTATAGACGACATCACCCTATACCATGACGTCCACAACGGGACTATGTCCCCAGAAAGACCACGTCCTCTGTAAGACTGAGGCTATGAAAGAAACGAAATTGAACTCCTCCCAGTGAACAAAAATATTTATGCAATTTACTATAATGACGTCTTTCAAGATAAAATCTCAACAATACGAGTTTTTCTCTATATATCTTGATAATACAAGAAAGAAGTATAAATATGTCTTACACGTCTGTCGACCTCCCGACGTGGTCATGCTGAAAATATTGTGCAGCTGTGGATGGTGCCTTGTTCAGGACGTGATCTCGTTCAAAATGTGGTCAAAATGTGACCAAATTTTGACAAAAATTACCACATTTTGTCACATTTTTTTTGTCAAAGTGTGGACCTTGTTCAAGATGTGGTCAAAATGTGATTCTGCTGAGTATGTGGTCTTGTTCAGGACGTGATCTTGTTCAAAATGTGGTCCTGCTGAGGACGTGGTCCTGCTGAGGACGTGGTCCTGCTAAGGACGTGGTCCTGCTGAGGACGTGGTCCTGCTGAGGACGTGGTCCTGCTGAGGACGTGGTCTTGTTGAGTACGTGGTCCTGCTGAAGACGTGGTCCTGCTGAGGACGTGGTCCTGCTGAGGACGTGGTCTTGCTCAGGACGTGGTCCTGCTGAGTACGTGTTGTGGGGCCGGGGAGTGCGGCCGTCCCCATCCCTGGGGCATTGCAGTCAATAGCCCCGCTGAAGAGCCCCTAATTTGCAGGCCTCCGCGGCCACCTCACGCACCGCGCGCGCTAAAATGTCAGCCGAGATGACGGCAAATAGTAGATACGATCACGATATGGTATATTATTTTCTGCTCTTATATAAAGTAGCAACAACTGTTATACGACGAAATAATATCTACAACCATAAGTTTAAATGTTATTTGCGGCGATGGTATGAAATATTATCTACTATTATGATATGAAATATTTTCTACGATTATGAAATGAAATGTCAGCTAGTCTTAGGCTATAAAATGTTTTCCACGATATTGATTTTCAGTTTCACCCGTGTCAGTTCGTTTAATATAATGCACAGGTCCCGATGATGGGACCAGTGCATTATATTTAATTTACGGCAATAAAAATCACCCTTAAGTCTGTTGATGTAAATGAACCAATTCCAAATAATAGGGGGGGGGGCAAAGTAATATTCTGACTCAATTGTTTTTCACTGAAATTAAATGGATCAATGGCATATCATCGACGGTCTATCATTTCGACCTAATGGATCAATGGCCTAATGTCGATAGTCTGTTATTTCGACCTAATGGGTCAATGGCCTAACATCGATAGTCTGTTATTTCGACCTAATGGTTCAATGGCCTAACATCGATAGTCTGTTATTTCGACCTAATGGGTCAATGGCGTATCATCGATAGTCTGGTATTTCGACCTAATGGATCAATGGCCTAACATCGATAGTCTGTTATTTCGACCTAATGGGTCAATGGCCTAACATCGATAGTCTGTTATTTCGACCTAATGGATCAATGGCCTAACATCGACAGTCTGTTATTTCGACCTAATGGATCAATGGTCATACATCGATAGTCTGTCATTTTTACATTTATACAACACTTCTCTTTAACTTCACTTCTTGTTTGTTTGTTTGTTTGTTCGTCTGCTATAAATCTTATAATCGATATTTAAGACACTTCTACCTCTCCAATCGATCTGAAATTTTTCACACTTGTGTAAAGTTGAAGACAATGCATGAATAAATTGACAGAATAACTAATTTTGAAAATTTTTAAAAATTATTTTTTTTATATTAGAAAATTAAAAAAAATAATTTTGTCTGCTCTATAACTTATAATCGATATTTAACACACTTCGTCCTGTCCAATCGATCTGAAAATTTGCACACTTGCGCATAGTCGGAGACTTTAATTGTCAATTCAATAGTCGGGTTCAATTGTCAATTTTATTATTTCTCACGTGATAAAGGGTCTACGACAATCACAAATCTATCATTCTCACTGAGCCACGGGTCAGCCATCAATGGTTTATATGGCTCAAAGGCTTAATGATCGATCATCAATTGACTATCAATCAGACATGGATTTAATACCATTAATAGACTAACATTAAGACTCAACAGCCTGTCATAAATGGTCAATGAATGGTCTAACATCAATGGGTGGTCTATCACTCAGACATATGGTCTCAACGGTCTACCATTAATAGTAAATCATCCAGGAACACAGGATCTCTGGTCCACATTCAATTCTCCGTCATTAACTCAGGAGTGCTATGGTGAATAAAGTCACGAAAAGTACAAGAATCGACAACAGGCCATGGGCCTATTTCTTCAGTGCCGACACTTCTATTCTATTCTATTCAATTCTATTCTATGGTCTATCTCCAATGGTTTATCATCTTGACGCAGTGCTCGCTGGTCAACAATTTACACCGCGGTGTATAAGCTCAAGATGTCTCTGTTATGGCCGATAATTTACGTCGTGAATGGTTAGGTTTGATATGATAATAAATATATCGTTGAAACTTGTTATTACTTTAATGATAGTTTTTAGGAGTTACATTTCAAGTCTTTTTCACACTATATCCTTTTAAAGACTTTTGCATGGATCATATTTTCAGTCTGACGTTAATTTCACACCAGCGAAATCTTTCATCATAAAATTACATTCACACTAGATTGTCGTTCCAACATGCATTGTATTTGTGTGGTGGCTATGGCAAATTTAATTCTAGACTAGTGTCTATCTTCAGATTTACGATGTCTGAATACTGTTCTTATTCTCCCATCGCCAGAAAAGTTCACTGAAAAAGTATGTGTAACTGAATAGCGATTAAAGTAAATTTCTACTGCCGTTTTATACAATACATAACTTTTCCAGTTTTTTGTGTAATTAGAAATAAAAATATGCAGAGAATTTATTCCCGACGGAAATGTTGTTTCAGGGCAGGCGTTGCCAGAAGAATACGCGTGATAACGGCACAGCTGCTGTAGCTCATCTGATGAACGACCAATACGTTCTTCATCAAGTTGTGCGACTGCTCTGAGCATGCAAATGCGCGGACCAAGATAGGAATGTGCAATACAAATACATCGTTGTTGTGACGGCCTGGGTCGCCAAACCGCACACACCAGAAGTCATGCCAGCTATGGGCTATCAAACTGCCTCCGATAAATGAAAAATAGAAAATTTTCTACAACAATGTCGTTTGTCTTTGGATAATTATTGTTTGCTCGTGGTTCAGGTATTTTTATTTGTTTAAGGTTAGAGCACTTAATGATGTCTGACATTTTAATTCAATCGAATCTACTTTATTCAACAATCGAAATAATTTAACCAGCGTCATCTATCAAGCTAGGAAGCAAAGTAATCCAAAGCAAGCTTGCAAATGGCTTTTTGAAAATTCCATTACTTGTATATAGGTAACGTTTTGATGCAAGTCAAAAGCGTATGGTTGAACTAGTATATACATGTAGTTCAACCATGTCCGAAGCGTACATTGTAAATTTGGAATATAAAACGTTTCATACAGTAGAGCAGTGGTTCCCAAACTTTTTCAAGCTGGCGCCCCCTTCGGCTTCCCAGTGAATCTTTTGCCATTTTTAGCTCGTGAAAAATTATTCGAGTCGGAGTCATGTTCTGAATGTGCTGTGTACAAATCGTCACACAAACGTACGAGCTTCTGACTTCGACTTCGCGGACTGCCGCCCCCCTTCTGCCTCTACTCGTGGTCGGTCTAGCAGCCAGTCTCACGGCCAATCTCCAAATTCAGTGACCAAGGAATATCTCCCTAATTAAGGAACGCAGCTCGATAAAACTCGGAACAAGTATTCATTACGACCTAACGGTGATGTTCAGCTTGTGAAAAAATATAATTTCCACCTTCATTCGGGAGTTGTATGGCGATTTGGGCCGAAATTCGCAGTGATCAAAGAATTTCTTCCAAACTACTGAACAGATTTTAACGAAATTTTTAATATAAATTCTTAATTACCAATCGGTGATTTTTAGCTCGTGAAAAATTATTCGAGTCGGAGTCATGTTCTGCATGTGTTGTGTACAAATCGTCAAACAAACGCACGAGCTTCTGACTTCGACTTCGCGGACTGCCGCCCCCCTTCTGCCTCTTTCTTCCTCACCCCATATCTTTCCACCTCCCCCAGGGGGGCGATATCGCCCACTTTGGGAACCACTGCAGTTGAGGTTACTATCAGTACTATGACTGTGAGCATCTATAAATGCAACCAAATTTAACAAAATTGCAAATGATTTCTAATGTAAAAATTCTTTTGCGTGCAACGTGCATCCATATTCTATGGTATTTAATTAAAACTTCGTACTCCGTCTAAACCCTCGAATGTTCTCAATACATCTGCTGAATTCTCGAGAATCCTGGCTTCCGCGAGAATTGTTGCTCGCGAATGTTCTATGCTCTGTAAAACGGATCCAGGACCGAGCGAATCATCATTCTACTTCGTTCTCGAAACTCGAGAGCATCAATTCAATGTGTTCCTATAATAAATTGTTTAAAATTTAAATTGTGAAATTTCTGTGTTCATAAATATTATATCAGTACGTATCACTTCTCTGACCAGTTGGTGTCTAATTCTTGTACATTCATTTATTATAAATCCGACCAAAGGTGACCATGAGTGGAGAAGATCAGCAACCTCAGCGCACTCCACGCAACATGCAAGGGCTTCTCAATTTTTGCACGGCCATAACCGCCCGGGAAGATGCACCTAATAATACTTCCAATCCTTCGGTTCTCGACCCTGAAGTAAGTTGATATATTCAAACTTGTCTTGTGCAAAGCCCGAACGTAATGATGCGAACAGCTTATCAGTGTCCAGTGATCACTTGATTGACTCATTTATTTGACTCAAATTGACTGTAATTGTTAATTGACACAGTAAAATGGAGGAGGGTAAAGAAGCATTTACTTAGTGCATAGGCTAACTCCTGTCAGTCAATCAATGCGCTCACTGTGATGAATAGCAGAATAGCTTAGTACATTCCTTACAGGCTTAGACTGCTTAGTACAATATCAGAGCATTATTTATTAGCAATAGCATAGGCCATAGCTGTGTGTCACCGTACATATAGAATATAGGTAGGATTTTTTCTTAAATTAATTTTAATAAATTTAATTTTTCCATTGTTTTTTGACAGTTTTGAGCTGAGCCTTTCATGCTGCCTTTGAGGTACCTGGTGCCATACTAACCTTGGCATTGTCAGTTTGTGTTCTATTCTCTTTTGATTGAGTTTTGCCTGTGTAATTAGCTAGGCTACCAACAAATTTCAATGCCAATAATTTCTCCTGATTCTCCACAGCATGTAATTTTCTGGCCTTCAAAGGGCCAATCAAAGCTTCAATCAAAACATTCCTAATGATTCTTAGTTACAGACAGAACTGAAAGTCTGAACCACATTTTCTAACCAACACTTTGTAGTCATCATGTCTTTATCAAACCACATAAATTGTAAATATGACCAAACACTGAAATGGACAAAGTAGTTTTTTACTTTTTTTTTACAAATGACCAGTATTACACAGTTTTTAGTGATGAACAGCAGGGTATGTGCAGTATTAGCCAAGTGGCAACTTGTGTTTCATTGGTGCTGCTGCTGCTGCTGCTGCATTTGACAGAAGAGTGTGTCAGTGTGGTAATGTCTTTTTTTGGATTTCTTTTTAGTTTAGTATTCCAATATTTCTTCTGTAATATATATTTAAATTGCATATAATACTCTGTTAAAGGCTAAATTAATATTTAATTTATGAATTTACAATGATTTTTCATTCTTCCACAGAGACGGCAGTTTTTGGAGAATGTTCTAAGCAGCATGACCACAAATGTGGCCAAGGTAATGGCTGCTCATCTTCAGACTCTAGCCTCTAGCACTGACCTGCATGAACAGATGTCAGAGTGTGAAGAAGAAGAAAAGGCATTGGATGAACTCATCGAATTGGTGCAAGATGTGGACAATGCTAATGGTTAGTAGTTAGTACTGATACAATCAAATACTGAGGGATCTATTCAATTTCCAACCACTTTTGATTAAACTTTTGACTTTAGAAGTGTATTAGCCAATACTTCCTGTGTTACTGAGTTATATATATGTTCAAGCCTTTCTTTTATAATTTATTTGGTGTTCTGTTTAATGAATAGCTTTTATTTGCACCTTATCTGTTCCTCATTGTTTGCATCTCTTCTCTGATAATATAGGTAACCTGAAATATAAATATAACCTGATCTGAAGTCCTTGCATAATATGTTTGTATTAATGGAGTCCTTCACCATTTTCCTGTGCTTTTTATCTACCGTTGAAATGTTCATTTGACCAATTATATAAATTTCTATCAATATTGTTTATTCACTGTTATGGCTTCTCAGACTTGGGAAATTTGCTCTAGAAAGTAAAGAAATATATTAACTTAATTGTATCTGTCTACAGACCTTGTGAAGATGGGAGGCTTTCCAGTTTTGTTGTCCTGCCTGGATTCTCCTCACGCCTTGGTACTGGAACTCTCATGTGAGGTCCTGGCTGTTGTATGCCAAAACAACCCTAAGTGCCAGGATGAGCTTCTCAAGCATCACGGAGTTCTTGATAAACTCCTGAACCTGCTCGACAATAATGCTTCCCCGGTCACTGTCAAGACTAAAGCTTTGTTTGCTGTGTCATGTAAGTGTGTATATGACACCTTCTTTTTTGCCTCCTTAAAAATTGGGAGCAATTTGACAACCATATTCTCCATTCAATGTTAAAACTTGGCTTTTTGCCTTCATTAGTCTAGGAGTGACCTGAGCTGTTAAGCCACTCACTTTTGAACAGCAAATTCAAGGTTTCAATACATTAACATCCTAAGCATTTTAAAGAGAAGTTATCTGAGATTTTGTTTGGTCCAATTTTAACATTTATTTCAGAATGCTATTTTATGAGTATGAAACCGCTCCATTATCTTGGGTTTTATGCTATTTATAATAATCTGAAAGCATATTGATTAGGTATCTTATTAATTTCTAGGCAATAAGCAATTCTTGAATTTCCATTATGCTGTTTATTTCATATTATCTTTATACTTAGCTTTTCTGTAGCATATTTCTGGTGCTGTCAACATAATACACCCCAAATTTTTGTTTTTTTTTTTGTTTTTTTACACGTACAAATTTAGTATGACTAATGGTTTGGAACTATGCACATTATTTCCAGTTTTAATACACAATTAGTTATGTACATCCCATGTGTGTAATGCATGTCTAAATTATTTCCACAGGCCTTATTCGAGGCCATGAGGCGGCAACTGCAGCTTTCGATGAGCGTGGAGGATTTTCCTACTTGATGCGTGCCATGCAGTTGGGGGAGGAGAAGGTCTTTATCAAAGCCATATTTCTGATAGCTGCTCTCCTCGATGAATATAAGCCAGCTGTTGGTGAGTGAAATTGAAATTATCTATATTCTTTGATGTTTCGAACTGATGAGTGATGATGGAACTTGTATCCAAAACCTTTTCAATTAAATTATGATGAATTTACTTGGAGTTTTCTTAGCTTTTAATTTCTTGGTTGATTTATGACTTTAGAAAAGAAATTATACAAATATTGTTTAAACTTTTAAAGCGTACATTGAGAATTCTATTTTTCTTGATATATTAAACCACCCATTTCATACTTCAACTTAAGTTCAACCTCCAATTGCAGTGAGTAGTCATTCATGGCAAATTTGGTCGTAATTTCAGAATATCGTATTTATGTGATGATTACCATCTCATTTCACTATTTGTGAGAAAACCAAAAAGACTAGCTCAGTAAATTGACTAATATGTCGCAAATCTTCTGAATGTTTGTTACGAAAATTCTAGATCATAATTCTGATGCCTGTTGGTATATACTGATTACCCAAGACAAAAATTATGATTCTTTGTTCCATGCTTGGTGCGAATAAAATGGATTTAAATTGAAAGAGAATAAAAATTTAAGTACCTGCTGAAATAAATGGTACCATTCCAACTACAATAGAAGAAAAGTCAAGAACGGCTTCATGAACCTCATCAGACGATGTCTATTGATTAGATTAGACGAATACTCATTGTGCCTTTTAGCACACGCATTAAGAACGTGGTACCAGTAACTAATGATATTTATCACACGCAGCCCAGCTCACCTCCATGGGCTACTCGGACCTGCTGGTTGAATACCTGTGCTCTGGTTATCTCAACGGACAGCCAACGTGTGGCGTCAGTGCTCAACGAACTTCACAAACAGTACGCGCGTTACTTAGAACCCCAAAGAAAAATTTTTACTTTCATTGTTAGCTTCTAAAAAAAAAATTTCGTCACCATTTGTTTTAATGCATCAATTTCCTTTCTGTAGTGCATCCCTATTGTAATTCGTTACACAGTTAATGTAACATTTATGTAGCCTTGATCCCTTGCTTGCACAACTGCTCAAGACGCGAGGTTTTCTACATGAGGCGTTATAAATCATATTGCCCCCACAGGCTTGCTGTACGTCGGATCAGTGCAGAGAACACTGCTGCTCAGCGCTGCTGAAACTTTGCTCTGTCAGCGAAGAAGTTAAACACAAATTGGCCGCCAATGATGCCCTCTGTGAAGCTTTGAAATGCAGATTTGACTCAATTAAAAATCGAGATGAAGTCCAGGTTCGTTAATTTCTTTTTCACTCTTTTGCTCGAGTGAAAATATGAATAGAATTAATCTCTTGAATGTTCACTCTAAATTGGTATGTTTCAAGAAGTAAAATTGTTAATCTAAATGGTTGATCTAATTTAAAATTAACTCAATCGTGTAAGCTTTTGTGCTACGGGTGATACGATTGCTGTTCGTTTCAATGGTATGGGATGTTATTATTTTTGCTAGTTTTTTTTACAATACAATCCTTCTGTCAATTAACAGAACTTTATAATTGAAATTGTGTATTAGAGTGTATTTTCTCGAGATAGTGAAGACATGATGGTAGAATCCTATAACCTCCTTTGAACCGAAATGGGATCTGAATGTAAGTTCGTAATAGTTCAACTATCGCTATTTATGAACACTATTTATTACCTTCTTGAAATATGATGTAAAACCTTGTCAGTAAAATGCTGCATGATACCTGTTCATCTTGTCTTGTAATGGTGTTGATGGACTATCAGGATTTTTTCTCTTAATTCTCAGCTTGAGGAAACTCACTTTCATAGCGCTTGATTGCAACGCTGCCTGATGAAATATTTATCCGTGCCTAAAGTGTGCATATTTCTTTGTAACGCAGGAGGAGCTACAATACATCTTAGCCCTCCTGGTCCAGCTGAAGAAGCATCAAGCGACTCCTGACGTTGCCGACGATGTCGCGTGTAGATGAGCTGGCTCAAGGTCTCCTAAGATCTAAATTCTACAGCATCGTTATTTGTATAATTTTTGCAGATTATTTTCATCCCCGATCAAGATCGTCAATTTTTATCTGCGCTTCTATACTTATCCTAAATTATCATTTTCGTTGTTGTTATTGTGATCGTTTTTATCGTGTGTCTCCGAGTTCAACATGAAAATTTGGCTCACACCCAACGGCGTTTTGGGTTCTGGCGAGGCTCGGCCTTGTGCGGTTATTATCATCATCAATGTACATGCTGGCATTTCATTTATGTCTGACACGATTAACAGATCTAAATCTTTCTCCGTAGACAATTCCTTCTCATACGCACATCACGTTACGTAACTGTTTATTGTGATTAGAAGGTTATGACTGATCAATGGTGTTATTATTCTCGTCTGCTAACTGCTCGATACTTTGAGGTGACTTCATATAATGAGTTACAAGTTGTAGCCAAAAGTTCGTTAGGAATAGGCGCTATCAGTTAACCTAGTAAACATGACTCTGGACCCACATTTACTCTAATATTTTACCCTTCTCAGAAGCGACTTGCCTTTTAAGTTTTAAGCAAATTGTATGTTTTCTCGGGATTCATTGTGATGAAAACCACGAATTCGTACAAAATTTCTTTCTTGCACGTGATTTCACGGCTGGAAATTCCCTAAACGGTTGGATTACTAGTAGCACTTGAACGTAGCTCCGTGTAGTTGCAAGACATGACCATGGGTAAGAATGGAGAGCCAAGTGCTAAATGGCTGGGGTGCAATCCCCGTCCGCATAGCCGACACAGACGCAGAACTGACGCACGCATCAGCATTCGTAGACGATACAAGAGTGCTTGCTGGTGGAGGATTTTACGCTAATTTGCTTGCGTGGGGCTGAAGGCAGATGAACCTTTTCAAAAGAAGAGGCAGAGCTAGACTCGAGATCCCGTGGTGTAATAGGCGTCCAAACGACTTCTACAACCGCAAGATGATAGTGGCCGATGCCACAACACAATTCAGTTTCTCTATTTTGATACAATTTAGCTAGAAGTCTTGTCGCTATTGCACATGCACGACCACTCCACGAGGCCCACAGACGACTAATGTTGTCTTAATTAGGTATAATTCACCTATGAATTTCGTCTGATTATCAACGACAAATACAGTTATTGCAAAGTAAACTTAATCGACATCGTAATCCAGTTAACCATGGCCAGTTTTAATAAGTATAATATCTGATAATTTTGTAATAATTTTAAGTTCTGGCAATGACAATTATTATTACCTCTATGAAAACAGGTCCATTGACCTGATCTTTTCAAAACTGATGATAGTTTGAAATAGTTACTACTTCCACAGTTTCGATATGGTGCTATTCCTTTCAAGTCTGGTCATATATTTCTCCTTAGCTCTATCTAGTCTGTTCTTGAAGGCGTTCATACTCTGAGCGTCAACGATATATTCAGGGAGGCTGTTACACTGTCACTTCCACATGTCGGTGACTCGAAGCGAGGAAAAGTGTTGTCGCGTCGATGAGTTGCAATGCAATTTTTTAGTTATAGCCGTGGCACCCTGGTGTTCGTTCTTTTTTCAAGTTCTAGTAATGCTTCTGAGACCTTCCAGGAGCATACTTGTATACTTCAATGAGGTCATCACGCAGCCGTCGATATTGAAGCTTGTAAGCTTTACAATCTTCCTTCGTAAGACTTGCCGTTCAAGCCTGGAATTATCCATGTTGCACATGTTTGAACACTCTCCAATTTTTGTACAATACAAGTTTCGGTGACCACACGGAGTTTCCAAGCTCTAGGTTCGGGCGCACGACAGCAACAAACAACAGCTTCATCGTTTAACTCACTGCTCCAATTTTGCTATGCTGAACCGCTGGCCTCCTTGCGGATTCAAACCAGAAACTGGCACACAGAGCTGTGCTCGAACCCGCACCTCTCTGCTCCAATCGTACTTATGTTTTAAATTTTATGTCGATCCGTTCAAAATCGAGGGAGTCGTGATCTGTTCGGTTGCGTTTTTTTTTTTAATTTAAACGAGAAAAAAACGACGTAAATTTTGCTAAAATTCTCTCGCGGCGCTTTTCTAATAATTAGTTATGTTTTGAATTTCATTCGTAATTGAGGGGGTCATGACTCGTGGGCTGCTCAATTGCGCTGGAATTGCGTTTAGCGTTTGACTCCGTTAATGAATTATGAAAAGAAAGTGCTAATCTTTCAGGGTAAAATGAGAATAAAATTAAAAACTATCCAAAACCAAAGTCCATAGATTCGTCTATTTATTTCGAATCATGATTTCCATTCGTACAAATCGCTCCTTTTATGTGATAATTTTGAAGCCCTTCGATGTTGAACACTCTGGTGAATGCTCTGATATCTGTCCAGACGAGTGCACTTTGAATACATTACATCTTTACGAATTTAGTCAAAATCGGTATCGATTTGACAAAATTACGATCGGAAAATATAATTTACTGTATCTGCTTATAGTTGTCCTTGCCCGACTAACTTATGAACGCACTGATTTGCCCGCTGACGACTTTTGATGTCACAAATTTCTGCGTGATTAAAATGAGACTCTCATGAATCGAGCGCTAAGGTTTTAAACTTTGTGTATTTCGAATTATCATAGAATCTAAGGGCCAGAGATTGCGGGTTACCAAAAAACCTCGTTGAGACGCTGTAATTTTCAGATTATGTATATGAAGGTTTTTGACAATTATCTCACAGTTTTTATTTCATGTGCTTGATTACTTAAAATATTCGTGCTGTTAATTCTGTTATATTGTTTTTCAGCAATCCTTCAATGATGAATAACGTATGTCGAATAATTCTACACAGTGTGAATCTAATACAAACTAATAAGCTCTAACCTTCCAAGTTTGAATCAGAATAGTGTCTCATTTCCGCAGAACTCTGAACAGGATTCATCAAGTACGCACACCAGACAATGACGCAATTAAATTTATTCACTTTTGATTCAGCTAAGCGCACTACAATGTTGCTAAATATAAATTCTTGATATATATTCTTTCTTTGCATCATGGATACGGCATTCAACGATATAAAATGCGGTTTGGTGCAGAGTGACATCTCAACATTATTGGAACCGACGTCCAATCATATTCGAAAGCAGCAGTAACCGTTGGTCATATGGTGGTGTTGGACAACGTTTCAAATCCCTTCAAAATGCCTAGCCGAGTCGGAGTAAATCTCCGAGCATCGGCCTATTTACATCAAGGCGATAGAAAATATATGGAGGATGAATTTGTGGTAGCTTATCAGCGAACTGCAGACAAGAAAGACATTGAATACGCGTTTTTTGGGATTTTCGACGGCCATGGCGGGAAGGAGGCTGCACATTTTGCTAAAGATCATCTTATGGATAATATTGTTTCTCAGCGTTCATTTTGGTCTGATGATGATAACGACGTGCTAGATGCTATCAGAGAAGGGTTTATACAAACTCACATGGCAATGTGGAAAGTTGTAGGTAAGTCTATCATTTGAATGTGGATTCTTTGCTGCTGCTGTAACTGGGATGTCCAATTTCCAAACTCCTTGGGCTTGGGAATGGGCCATGACTGAGAATTGTACCTATTCATTTATAATAATAAATAAAATGAATAGCTATGTGAAGTTGTGTGTACTTGAGCAGTTGAGCATGACTAAGACTAGCATTCCAAGTTAACTAATTCTATACACTTGGAGTCAGGCATGGAATATAGGTAGCCTATCCCTATCTAGGTAGGGTAAACGCCATAGTGACAAAGCAGAGAGTTTTTTAGACTCTCCCTCAAGTTCATTTCTGAGTCTTATAAGTAGACCAATGAAGTATCATGGATACCAGCATTATCATACTTAAGAAATTGGTTTAAAACTTGAGTTATTGAGGAAATTAAAAATGAACTGATTCCAAAAAAGCTCTGGTTTGCCACTATGGTAAACGCGGTATATTCCGACATCGTAGGTAATTCTGTCACTTCTCTAGTTTTTCCTTTATATTAAGCTTTGTTTTAGTTCCATGCGTTCATTGATGGTTGAAATGGTGACGTCATACATTTGCGTGTNCTCCAGCAACTACCTAGCAACTCAGTTGCTGGAGTGTGTGGTATAGTATAGAGCATATAGTTTAGTGTGGTATAGTTAAACATATAGTGTGGTATATAGTTTGGTGAAATGGTGGGATTCCAGCCATTGCAGTCACATTCCTGCACCCCAACCAGCAGAGTGGCGAGTGCTACGCTACAGTCAGTTCCGGAGACTGGGGCATAGCATAGTGGCAAAGCAGAGATTTTTTTAGACTCTCTTTCAAGTTCATTTCTGAGTCCTATAAGTAGACCAGTAAAGTATCCTGGATACCAGCATTATCATACATAAGAAATTGGTTTAAATCTTGAGTAAATGAGAAAAGCAAAAAATGAACTGGTTCTAAAAAAGCTCTGGTTTACCACTATGGGGCATATTAAATTAGTAATTCACTAATTGGCACCATGGTTGAATTCTAGGAAATTGTTGGTCAATTACGTACACCAGGACTGGGACAGTGGGAGTGCTCCAGGGCTACTCTCTGCAGTCTCTTCACTCTCTTGAGGAATGGGGGCGGGTGGTTACCTTGGGTTGCTAACTATTATGGTGCTGCACAGTGCACAGTTGCTGTTGTAAGCAGCCATGGAATATAGCTACTTGGCAAGCCATGACTGGATTTTTTCAGCCTGCTGAAAAAGCCCTACTTAAGAAAAGAGTAGGACTGGAAAAGTCCTATTTTTTTCTGAAGTATTGCAGCTCTAATATTGTATTATCATATAATTTCAGTACGTGGGAAATCTCGTGGCTCTAATGTCATGTATTTTTATTCAATTGCAAGAATTGCAGTTTGCACTTTGCAAACACATCGTTTCACAAAATTTTAAGCTTCCACAATGATGGCACAATCTGCATTACTTCAATGCTCTTGCTAAAATATCCTGCAGAATGTAATAAAAACATGTCAATCCAAAATGTTTCCTTGAAGATTGCATAGCTGCAGTCACGTCTGAGGGGTCAGACATCATCATGTGTTCAGTTGCCACTTAAGTGAAGGCAAATGCCAGTTTTGGTGTTCAACTGTTTTTAGGGTCAATTTAAAGATTTAGGTAAAATATGCATGGACTTTGTGAATAAGTTTGCAGCTCATAAATGGCTTTTCATTCCCGAGACATGGAATTCATGACTCAAAGAAATGGAATCATGGCTGGCTAATCCATGAAACCTCAGCTCAAAAAATTCAGTTGCGACTCGCCAAGTAGATATATCCCATGCCTGGCTGTAAGGCACTCATCCAGGACTCCATGCCATCCCACTCAGACTGAAAGAGGACGAGCATGCTGCCGCTACTGCTGGCCCGTTTGTATTGGAGCGTGCGTCTGTCCGCTCATAGTTTTGGCTGCCACGCTTCTCTATATTATTTTGTTTTTAATTGATATGAATAAACTATATTTAAGGCATTCAAACAACTCCTAAGTTACTCAAAACTGAATGCATCTGCTTGCAATTTGGAATATAAGTAGATATTACCAATGTGCTGTATTTGAAACAATTACAAATTTTTACATTGCATCATTCTTAATTGAAACAAAAAAATGTGATTCAGTCAAGTCTAGAGACTTCCATTATAGGATCAGTGACCAGCAAAGTCTGTGCCTAGTCTAGCATCCATTAGAGGAAATTTTCTGGTAGACATTTGAAACAAGTTCAATGGTCTGTAAGGTAAACAAAATGGAGCAGCATAGCACAAGCTTCATGCAATTCACCATATGGTAATGTGTTGCGTGTGAACAAAAAGTGTGTTGCTTATTTTTTTATTTAGATTTTTTATCCTGCCTTAAAGTGCAGTGTTAAGGAAGCACATTAAAATTTTAAATGCGTGTAAATGAATGAGTGTTTCCTCCGTTAGTTAAGTCAGTAAGACTGGTAGGAATGAGGATTATGATGTTCCAGGCTCCTTCTGTTAGCTTTAGTACCGACTGGAGTGCAACTTTGCAAGTGTTGTATTTCAGTTGGTAAAATAAATTGTTTTCTACTTTTTTTCACATGAAACAGTCTTTATTTTGCAGTTATGGTATGAATGTGTTATTTAAATTTTCAATTTGTCATTAAACAGTAGTATAATTACCTAGATTTCCTTGTGAATTGGATAGGCATTTAGATGGTGGCAGGTGCAAGTGACAATGTCTGATGGTGGGTGGTCAACTGCCACCATCAGACAGCACTCACACTTGCTAGCCGTCAGCTGAACCATGATGCTGCGGTGCAGTGCGCTCAGAAATTCACGCCGCAGCACACGCATGCTCAGAAATTCCATAAATAGATGGCAATGAAGAATGCATCTAGAATGGCACCATGCCTGCATATATTCTAAATTTCTAGNAAACAAAATTGATGTAAAATTTGTAATTGTTCCTTTTGCAGTGCATTGATTATCTATATTTATATTCCAAATTTCAAGCAGATCCGTTCAGTATTGATGAGACTTATGAGTTGTTTGGTTGTGCAAAAAGTTAGGTTTTGTGTTAACTAAGCAGCCAGGTCCAGAGAAACTCATTGCATAAAAGTTTGATTTATAACTTATTCATAATGGAATTAGACAAAAAAGTACCTAAAAACATCTATAACATGCAAAAATACTAATGCCATAATACATAAAACCAAAACCATACCAATAGCATGCATTGTTTTACAAATATGACAAAAGAATGTTGATAGAAAATATAGACATTCGAAACAAGTTTGATCATCTGTAATGTAAACAAAGAGAAGCACTTGTAAGCCTCAGGCTACTCTCCATGCAGTGATGTGTTGTGTTTAAACTTGCAACATGTTGCTCATGTTTTCATTTTGATCTTGAACCTTACCTTAATGTGCTGTGTAAAGCAACCACATTTAAATTTCAAAATGATGCAAGTGCCTGAGTGTTTCTTTGGTTAGTCATGAATAAATGGTTTGCTATGTACTGGTTGCTATGGCAACCTGCAACTCTGCAAAGCATGGTGCAATTCTATAGTAATATACAAAAACATGGTATTTTGAGATTTTGGACTGATCGATGCTATATTATGGACCAGTCCACAGAACACTAGCATCACCTCTCACAAGACACAACTGCATACTAAATAAACAAAAGACAGCATTGGCTAGAAGTGCCATCACTCATCAGTTTAACCAACAAAAAATATGAATTTTTTAAATAAAAGGATGTATTGAAGTCAGGTCATTAAATGCCTGAAAAATATTGAAAATTTGAGTTTCTGCTTCGATTTCAATGCTGTTAAGATTGAAATCTTCAAAGTATCTCTCTTATCACATATACTTATTAGATAAAATGAAATTTGGCCATATATGTCACTAAAAACCACTTACAGAATTGGTTGGTACACTCATTCCAATCAAATGTATGGTTTACAAAAGTCTCTTGACATTGATTGCAAATGTAAAGAAGTAGATATGTGTTTTCATTACTAATTTATCATGAATGTTGTATCCCCAGATTTCCATGCTTTGTTACAAGTGAAATTCATTACCTGAAAAAATAATTTTCAAGTAAAACGTGAAAACTCGCATCATGTGAATTCCCCCATCACAATTATGTAACTAAGTCTGTCTGAAAAGTTTTCTATGAGTTACAGTCATAAGAGAAAATTATATAGAATCTAATTTCTTTGCCACAAATTTATTTGTAGATATTCAACAAAAACAAGTAATGATTAAACAATTTTATAAAATTTAATGAAAATTTAAGCATATTTTAAGTCTAGGATGGCTGGCCCAAACAACATTTTTGATAATACTTGTCTCTTCTTACTAAAATATTAATATATTATTTTAATATATTATTTAAAGAGCTGCAACTCACTGCATTGGTGATGGCCTAAGTTTATGCAAAATTAAAGAATTTTGATTGGAATTTGAATAAATTGAGAAAGATTTGTTTAATAATTTAAGCTTATTTCTAAATTTACTTATTATATTGTTCTTTCCAGAAAAATGGCCTCTCACAGCATCTGGCTGGCCTAGTACTTCTGGGTCGACAGCCTCTGTGGCGTTCATCCGCAAGCAGAAGATCTACATTGGTCATGTTGGAGACTCGGGGATCTGCTTGGGTTATGAAGACTCCAGTGAGTTCCTTTTTTATTTCAATTTCACTTGTAGTTACTTATTTCATAATGTGCAAGTGCACCAAAATTCATGAAACAATTCCAGGAAATTTGATATTTCATTTAGCATGTTGGATGGTTACACCATGTACTTGTTTCTAGTATTTGCATTTACACTACATACAGGGTGATTTGTGGAAACATCTGGACTTGAAAACTCAATAAAAAAGAACTAGGAAAGATATCATTACAAGATGAATTTTATTGAAAAAGACATCACCTGAATTTATGTATCACTTAGTTTTAAAGATGACATCAAATAAATTATGTTCCCCATTGTCAATGCATTCTGTTATTTGATTTTTGACATTTTTTGTAGTCCCAGTCGACTCACTGAAGCATATTGATGGGTATGTTGGCAATAGCTTGGGGTATGTTGTTTGTCAAATGCTGTAGGTTCCTTGAACAGTCATTGTAAACAATCGATTTAAGATATCTCCCATAAAAATTGACATGGAGCCAAATAGAGGGATTGGGTTGGTCACAGAAGGTAACCTCACCAGAAGATAAGAAAATACCGTACCTGTCAATATGCTTAAGCAAGTTGAAGGGAACTTCAAAAATCGACCAGCTGAATGCACTGGAAACAGAAGACGTCATTTGTCCGATGTCTTATTTATAACTAAGTGATGGATAAATTCAAGTAATGTCTTTTTCAATAAGTCCTTTTTTATTGAGGTTTCAGATCACAAAATTTTGGTGACTCACCCTGGACTTGTATTTAACCCTACAGATGGCTACTGGTTGGGGGAGCATCTAACCAAAGACCACAAACCAGAGAGTAACCAGGAGAAGAGTCGCATCACTCGCTGTGGAGGCAAGGTGGTCAACAAATCGGGTGTTCCTCGTGTGGTGTGGAATAGGCCCAAGCGAGGCCATAAGGGCCCTGTCAGAAGGTCCACCCCCATGGACGAGATTCCTTTTCTTGCTGTTGCAAGATCGCTGGGTGAGTTCACTTGTCAGGAGGCTGAAGTAGCTGACATGAAATCAGATTTTGGTTACATGAGGAAGAAATTCCACATTAACCTTAATCCAATGTTGAGTTCTAAATTTTGGTTGAGAATCTAATTGGAGCAATCCTGTTTTGACACAATAATTTAACATTAATAATTGCTGAGAAAAATGTATACATTATTTCTGAGCTTATAATTTGATGAAATTCTATCGGCATTGAATATTATTACAGTATATTCCAACGAGTGTATATGTGTATTGTTTAAAAAATTTCTATGCTAATGCTTTTTAATTCTGTGCTAATGCTTTCTTTCAATTCATTTGTTTTATATTTATATTGGTTAGATTCGTGAGAATCTTCAGTGGTGGTTTTGTTCCAGGTGATCTTTGGAGTTACAACCCCACGAACAACCAGTTTGTGGTGTCGCCTGTGCCTGATGTGCACGTCCATCCTATAGACATCAAGCGTCACCGCTGCCTCATCTTCGGCACAGATGGCCTATGGAACGTCATGTCGCCCTATATGGCCGTCAATATCGCCTACCACACAGAACTGAACAATGAGAACCATTATCTGGGCCTGGTCATGCCATGTGGAACTGTAAGTTGAAATAACTAGGCTTTAGCTTCTTCACATTTGGAAACAGTATAATGATGTATACTGCTTTGTGTTCACGTCAAATATAAATCTTATACCTATATATATGTGTCCTTGATTGCAATTGTTGTAATTAAACTCTATTCTACTTTTGAACTACTTAAAGGTTCAATTGAACATCTATATATAGTCCAAAATATATATACTCTTTCACCTAAGCAGGCCCTTAATCCCATGAAATCTCCATCCTAACTTCCTCAATGTTCACTAAATGTAGGTAATTAATTATGTGTGCAGCAACACATGTGGGTAAACCCGTCACGCTCCGTGGTGAAGGGAGCTCTGGATCGTTACAGCCGCTGCAACCTGCGCGCTGACAACACGAGTGCTGTTGTGGTCTTCTTGGACCCTCCTGGCCGCCCCAAGAGAGAGGTACTTCTCATCTATTGCGTTCAGAGTCCCAGCATGGGTGATCTCTCTTCCCAGCGTTGGCATAATGCTTTGTTTTATTGCACTGATGTTTCTTGGTATATTTTAAACAATGCTGAACTGCTCTCATTAGTTTCAGAATCATTTCATGGAATAATTTAACTTTTGTGTATCCACATTTATTACTATATCTTTAAATGATCTTTGATACATTTTCAAGCGTTGAAACTAATTTGTAAAAAAACATGATGTCGATACATCGTACCTATTTGATCCAATTGAGCCTAGAGTATTTTCAGACTATTCCTGAAAATGTACCTAGCAAATTGTCTTGAATTTTTAACTATTTTGACTTGTAAATTCAAATTTAACTGGTGTTAAGCATCTAACTTAACTTGTTAGCGCCCTGTGATTCGACATATAAAATTTTAGGTGTCAAGTTCACCTTACCTGGCTGCACTTTTTTTCTTCGCGAGTGTCTTGTCCTGAAATTAATTTTATTTTTGACAGGTATTACTGCAACGCAAAGGCCTGTCATCTCCATCAAACGTCACCGCTCAAGATGCTGCTGCCAGCTCCACTTCAGTAGGGTCTCCAGCCAAGAGCGCTGACTGCAAGGTCCAGGTGCACGTCTACAATATTGATACCAACAAGTCCAGCAAATCTACTGATGGCCAAACACCTCACGGACTTCTAAGAATAACTGAAAGATCGCCGCAAAAATGGCAGCTTAATCCCGAGTCTTGCGAGAACAGGAATGAAAATGACCGGGCACCTATCCCGCAATCTCCATCTAAGCCATTCCCTAAAGCCTTAGCAGAGGACAATGAACAAGCTTCTACTCCAGGCACGTCGGAATTAGGCACAAAGCGAGCTGCCGCACCATGTGCTATGGCTGTCAATCCCTTGATAGCAGCGAAGAACTCATTAGCTTCAATCTCGACTAGTACTCTATCTCCTCTCTCATCATCTTTGTCATCACTAAAAGTTCCTTCATCCCTCCCTTCTCTGCGCTCTGGTGGCCGGACCATTTCATCGGACTTTGTAGCATCACCTGCCGCTGCAACAAGCCAAGCTACCAGATTGTCTCTGTGTACTAAATGTGACAGTCCTAGAAGAAGCTCAACTTTGGTTCAAAAGAAACTTAACTCCCACCCACCTAATCCTAATAGTGACGGCAAAGACGACATCCCTTCTGCAAGCATCGCCAGTAATAGAGCAGCTAAGAGGGAGAGAGATGAGGATGAAACTGATCAGTGCTTTAACGTTAAGAAGTCGTGTGCAGAATGCAAATGTAATGACCAGCTTCCGTTGCAACCTGAAGATTCTCGAGGTGACAGAACTCCTAGTAGTGCGTCTAGTGTTATCCCTAGTGATGTAAGTAACGCTTCTAGTGTTAGCCATTCCCTTGAATCTAGTCCAAAAACTTCGAAATCCAAGTCCTCAGCAACAACTTCTGAATCTAGCAAAGTTAATCGCAAAAGAGATGATATTCAAATACCTCTTATATCAAGCAGCACATGGGTATCTTGTAACACAAGCAGCAGCAACTCTGATGCCAGCGTCTCCTCACCTTCAGCCACAGTTGATCCAGCCAGTAAATTAAAATTGAAGAAATTTGTTCAGCATGGCTCGGGTAAGTAAATATTTTAGCAGCTAAGTCCCATTATACTTTTTATTTGATGACTAGACGAGCCCAAGAGCTTTGCGCCGATTGCATAGAAAATTTTTAACTCTCAGCAGAAATCCGGCCAGCTTTCGAGGCCTGTTGTGGCAATCACCAATTATCGAGCTTTTGCCTTCGCTGCTTCAGGAGCTAGTAGTGAGGGGCAGCCGCTAGATTGAAGCATTTTCTTATTTCAATGGCTGTTGGGTGGTCAGTAGCTGGTCACGTGACTAACTATCGGCCACCTGATTAGCTAGGAATAGACTGCTATGGTTATAAAAAAGTAACTTTAGCTTTCACTAAACATTGTGTAAAGTTTAATTCCTGATGATGGACGATGAATCTTACTTGACCTCGTCATTCATTGATAGTATAACATTCGCAATTGAGGGCTATGAATAAAGATTCTATATTTTCATTCGCTATAATGAATGTATGATATATGATCGTTTGAAAATTTTACATATTATTGATAGTGGCCTCATAGGACGCACACTAACGCCCACAGTTTAGTAAAATTGTAAGCCAGTAATAGCCCCGTGTATGATACGCTTCATGGCGTATGCTAGTTGCGGCTAGTTATAATTACCAGCTTTCACAATTTGACACAAAGCTCCTATAAACACTTAAGTCACGACAAGCATCGCCGACCCTCCTACTGATTCCATAACATTTGCAACGCGCACTTTCGTAGTAGCGGGCTAGTATTGAAGTGTATCGAATGTCACGTAACGAGAGGAAGACACAGAAAAAGTATTTTGCAAATCATGCCTTACCGTGTTACTGCCAAGTTTTGTTGGCTGCCAAATGCTAAGTTTGTCCGACTGTCATTGATTGGGCAGAGGTACCATCGTTTAATTTCTTATCCATGGAATGTTTATCAATCATTAACTTTTCATTGAATCGTTGGATTTTGTGTCTTCTCGCGTGATGCAGAGGGTTAATAAAATAGATATATATTTATTTGTAATTGTATAAATTCAGATGTTGTCAGCGGGCTTTCTTTTGCAGGTGACGTGGTGCAAGTCGAGCTTGTGAGGCACCGCACGCGATCATCAGTGGTGACGAAGCCTGTGCCACAGAAGACTATGCGCTCAGACGGTGGCATTGATACAATCACCTCTCACCTCAAAACGTCAAGCTGCTCCGGTCAAAATGCCAACTTGGAACACAAATTTCAAATTGAAAACTCGCTTGTTTCTGCCGTTTCTTGCCCAACTTCTGAACCGTCTGCTTCTAATCGTATTTTAAAGTCCGTCAACAGAGGCTCTCCGAACGAAACCAAAACTTCATGCCTTAAGAGCCTTTGCTCAGGCTCAGTCAAAAGTAGCTCGTCTCTTAAGACAAGCAAGTATGCCTTCAAAGTAGGCAAGAAGAAACGTAGCCACTCTGTGCCATCCCTCTGTAACGATAGCGCTACTGCTCTGCCACCTAAGAAAAAGTCAGCCACTATGCATCTTCGAAGCGGCAAGCCAATGATCACTCGAAGTCAAGAAAGAGGATACAAAAACGTCAGCAAATAGCAAATGTGATCTGATTGTGAATTTAAGGGTAATTTTTTGAAATTTAATGTTTTGTTTCACTTTTTAGCAGTACATTTTGCTCCGAGGTGACATTTCCTTGCAAATTTTAAACCAAAGCTATCACTCTCAAAGATTAGATATGAGGTGTCAAAGTTTTTATTTGAAGCCTTCAACTACTCTTATGAAAAGCTTTGCGTCAAAAGGAAAGTTTGAAATGAGCTCCATCGCTATTAGTGAAGATAAAGATACATTTGTGGCAAAAACTTCGTAATTGTGCTGTTCATTCTTTGAACGGATATTGTTTCATGGATGAATTTTGATTTACTAACCAACTATCTGGTTGCTACGAGTAAAGACGTATTGTTATGAAACTGTTTTACGACATTGGTCCACTCCAGTTAAATCGAGTTGTGGTTATTAGGCTTCAACTCTTCTGTTATGCGCAAAGGAAACCTTGAACTAAACGTATTCACTGGCCGTCTTGAGTTGTTACGGAATAGTTCCCTAAGAGAAGTTAAGTCTTAAGTTGACATTGGATCAAGAGACTTTTTCTAACCCAATGAGGGCTACGTTTGTCTTATACATTTCATCTTCCATCGATTTTATTTGAACTTTGAATTCTTTTTAATTTAAATAATTTATTTTGTTAAATAGCGAATAATGTGCAGTTAAATTTAACAAGGGAAACAATTTTTAAGTTGAAATGACGCTTGTGTCACCTTTCTGATCACTGACAACTAGTTCAGGTCCTCAAGGTTCTAGCTTACCTCTCGTGTTCAAGAATTGGAAGCCTCTCATTCCAAAGTTTGGATATCGTTCTGTTCATCAACCTTGACGATTGTAGAACCTACTTTTTTCAATTGTGGGTAATTTGAACGGTTGTTTTATTGCTAGAACTTGCATGCTCGAGGTTTGCACCGTTCTTGCTTTTAGTTCTATGTGTTTTTTTACTGACAATTTACAGTAAAAACATTTTTTTGTCATGATTTCATTCAATGCTATCATTTTTTTGCAAATTTTGATTTTTTTGCAATTAATGTTCACCTTTTTGCTGCACTTCTCGAAGTGTTACTGCTCTTAAGACGAAAAATTTTCACCATGCGATTAATTTTTGTCAACGTCTGTTCAATTTGGATAGCAATTGTGTCAGTCGGGAAAAATCTCGTTTGGCTTTAGTAGTTTGGGCGTGATGAGTTGCACGTTACTCGTGATGGGTCTTAGTTTGACAGTTTGTCTGATCTCAAGCTTAGGCTGTTTAGTTGTAGAGGATTACCTTGTGAATATCGAATGTTTTTTCTGTTAAATTACAAGTCTGGTTGGTTGCATTTGTATTAACAAGAGGAGTTGCGTCATTATCTTGGTTTCAATTCGGAGACGGCTTTTAGTTTTAATTTTTAAGGATAATTTATTGACGAATATTTTTTTGCGCTGCTTTTACTTTCAACAAGATCACACGTGATCATGAATGCCGGAATAGAATTGCTTCATATTTTTAGCCATTTAAACCTTTGTGTTTTAAGATGAATGATATATCAGAGCTACGGACAAAGTCATGGCTCTTTACAATGCTTCATTGATTGGAAAATTGCTAGACTTGATACCGTCGACGACGGTCGGGAGTCCATAAATATTCGCGGCTCGTGACCAACCAAATCAGCTCCAGTGATCATCACTAATTACCGGATAATTTTGTTTCCTTGAAAGCAGATCTTATTTCGATATAATTTTGCAGGCTCCAAGCTTTTTTACACTTTGCGAACGGTGAAAATGATCACAGGTAAAATGTAATCTACAGCTCCATTTCTGATCTGGAATATTGTCTTGTTGTTAGAGTAGAAAATGTATGGGGAATTCTTTTGTTGAATGTAGATTGCCAGTAACTATCTTTTAAACATGTGAATGAGATCAAACTAACGTTGACGTGCCCGACAATGCCGTTCAACCAAAGGACGATTTTGTAATGTGATTAATAACTGTAAATAAATAGAATTTGAAGAATTTTACAAGACATAATAAATGGAAGAAATTTCGTTCATCTTTCATTTGTCGCATCATATCTGTTGTGTAATTCCTGTACTTTGCATGCCAAATCATAAATTAATCGTTTCAGGTATTCCAATTGAGTATTACAAAAACCATCACATCAACATACGTGGATGTAATTCACTGAAATGCTACTTATACGCTGGGGCAGCACGAAACAACGCTCACTTGCCCTCATGTGTCGGATTAAGGAGCGATAACTCGATTAAATATTTTGAATGCACGACTGACCTTAACGGTTGTTGCGGCATTAGATCAGCGACTCTGTTGTCTAGACATGTGGTTAATTGCCGAGATCGAATTACCGCGATATTTCTTTTTTCTTCTCATATATTTTGCTCGTCCCGTCCTTCTGCAAATTAGTGCAAATAATCAAATACTTAAAATGAAAATTGATGAGTTTTAAGGAAATAAAAAGTTGTTATAGCTATTATCACGCAACACGCTTCACTTCTAGTGCATAATGATGAGCTTGGTGCATTATAGGCGGAACGAGAGAAACCTGAAATGTAATCAGATAATTGGTTATTAAATTTACAAAGATTATGTCATGCAAGTGCGTTGAATTTTGTTAGGAATAGCAGCCGCAATGATTATCAGAATCATTTGAGGATGCGTGTCGAAATTTTAATCAAGTGGCCGGACAAGTTTAAAATTTTTATCACTGGAAATATGTTACGATTCAGAGCTTACGTTCGGTGAGTAAACTAACGTGCAATCCTACTACACAATGCATTGGCGCACTGATATTCGAGCCCAGCCGAGCAGAATCCCACAGCAGGCAATTGCAGACACGGCTTGGCTCGGGATGTGGTATGTTTGTTTAGTGAGCCGAGAAAGACTCGTGAGTCAGACTCTGAAGTGAGTGGGGCCCTTTAATGGGCTCAAAAGGTGGTACGATTCTAGAAAATTTCATGCCATCAGACTCCCAGATCTCCCAGTAACCTGAAAAAGGAGAGTATGTGTTAGGTGTTCATCCGGGAGTTTAGAGTCGCCCATGGTTTAACTATGAGCGTTACCTATAATAGTACCCAGAGCTGGGCAGCGCTACTTTGAAATTTAGCGGCCGCTACCGCTACATGCTCCAATGTAACGGGCGCTACCGTTACACCCACTAGATTGTAGCGAGCGCTACCGCTACAGTAAATGTAGCGCCGCTACAATGGCCGAAATTATTGGAATACTCTAAATATTTATTGTTCTGCTGTTGGGATTTACTCATAAACATTTATTGGTAATAAAACATTTTCAAAACATATCAATGCAACTTTATTGCAATTAACCTAACCGAACTAGAACGGGTTAGATACAGTCAATAAAAGTTAGTTATTTCTATGTTTTACCTTCCCTACATGGATGTCTACTTTAATCTACCAATCTCAATAATTATCCATATATACATATAAAAAATCAGAATTATTTGTATATATATGTGGATTATTTTTGAGATTGGTAGAATAAAGCAGACATCCATGTAGGGAAGGTGAAACAAAAAAAAACTGTGTAAAAATAACTGAAAGCAATCTGAAACATGAAAAAATACCTTTAAGTGGTAACTGGTAACAACTTAACAAGTAACAACTAACATGTGGACACTAGTAACAGCTACAATGACCGAAATTATTGGAATACTCTAAATATTTATTGTTCTGCTATTGGGATTTACTCATAAACATTTATTGGTAATAAAACATTTTCAAAACATATCAATGCAACTTTATTGCAATTAACCTAATCGAACTAGAACGGGTTAGATACAGTAAATAAAAGTTAGTTATTTTATTATTTACCTTCCCTAAATGGATGTCTACTTTAATTTACCAATCTCAATAATTATCCATATATACATATAAAAAAACAGACTTATTTGTATATATGTGGATTATTTTTGAGATTGGTAGATTAAAGTAGACATCCATGTAGGGAAGGTGAAACATAAAAATAACTGAAAGCAAACTGAAACCTGAAAAAATACCTTTAAGTGGTAACTGGTAACAACTTAACAAGTAACAACTAACATGTTGACACTAGTAACCGGCTGAGGATGACAACATTACACCGAAATATTTCGTACAGTTTTATTCTGTTATTTATATTATGTATGTATCATGCTGGTTTTTAAATAATATTTACTACTATTATGTGAAATCTGAATGCTTTATCTATAAATGTAGCGGTAGCGCTGTAGCAACAAAACCTCGTATCGCTACTTAAATATGTAGCGGGCGCTACCGCTACCGCTACATTGCCTTAAATGTAGCGTCGCTACCGCTACTGAAAATGTAGCGGCCGCTACATGTAGCGCGCTACTGCCCACCTCTGCCTATTTTGTTTATTTTTAATATATATTGTATTCTATGAATTCAGAATTAGTTCTAAGTCCTGCATTGAAATGCCATTGATGAATAGTTATTAATTTTCGGAGCGTATCTGTCTCGAGACGGTCTATAGGCTACGGCGCGTTTCAACAAAAGCTCTCTAGTAATTTCTCGTTGCTAAGGAGTACATGAAGGTCAAAATGAAACACATTCACGGTTTAAATTAAATTTTGTAATATGAAGTAAACCTCCAAAGTTCACACAATTACGTACAAAAAATTAGACAAGCAAATAAATAAATTAGACATAACTTGAGATTTAACCTTATTTAAACAGCACTCCAAATTTGTAAACAATGAGTTTAATAGATTACTTCACAATTACTTGTTCATACTACATTTTTGAACAATGAGTTTAATAGATTACTTCACAATTACTTGTTCATAATCCCTATTCACAAATTTCCGACTCAAACGGAAAATGTCGAGCCGTAGTGCTATTTTGCGTAGTGATGCAGTTGCTATACCCCGACCGTATCGATCACGAATACGTCTTAAAACAGACCGTATCGATCACGAACAACCTCAACGTCTGTCGTAATGACGTTCGTGTTGTTCGGAGCAGCCGTAGCGTGGTAGTCGTACTGTAGCCGTAATCTCTCCTCTTCGAATAATGTCTCAAGTTCCCTGTGGCCGGAAAATCTCGGAGAATCTCTCCTTGATTCAAAATTGCTGTGATGGCTTCCACGTTAGTGGCGTTGCTGCCAGCTCGATGTGCATTTATCCCGTTGTGCCTGGCTTCTTGCGACGTTACTTAACACTTTCCTCGCGTAATGGGCCATATGTGTACCAACAATGATGATCCACTTCTGCGTATTGGGACACCAGTGTCTCAAGCGCACAAGATTATTTTCGATAAAACACACCAAATCGAAATTTATTTGGTAAACTTTCTCTTTTTGATTACAAGGCTTCACACGTAAGGTTGATTATTAAATAAAACAAATCAATGAATCAAATTTTTATTCATGAAAAACAACAAAAGTAGCAACCACTGAAAGACTTCCGCAATAAAGGCATAGTGGTGCGACCCGGATAAGCGGGGAACGTGTAAAATAATATGACTGCTTGCTTTATAATTGCTGCAAGTCTAGCAGCTTATCCTGTGGACTCGAAATTGAGTCACGGCCGTCGTGGCCGTTGCGTTGCTGTTAGCCCTACAGAACTGTAGCGGAGGCGAGGCCGTAATTGTAGATCGCAGATGCTCTTACAGGAAAGTTATTGATGAGACTAAGTTATTGATGAGAATAAGTTATTGGTGAGAATAAGTTATTGATGAGACTAAGTTATTGATGAGGCTAAGTTATGACTAATCGTGCCGCTACTGACAGCGGCACGATTAGGAGCTAGCCGTTGAGTTGAGCCTCGGGAAGCTCAGTCCATTTCTTGGTGCCGCTGTATGGCAGTGCTTGATAGCCGTCCAGGATGATGCTATAACGGCATTGGGTTGATGTCTCTAAACGAGCTCTGGTGTGTTACCCTGGAAGAAACACCCAGGGTAACACGTGCTAAACGTGTTACCCTGGACGGCACTTTGCACGAACTTGGGACGTATGCGAGGAAGGCATGTGCCTTTGCAGGAAGTGGTCCAAATATTGTCATCCCAGTGCTCCAGATTGCCTAATATTGCACCTGATGAGCTTTGTTTAATACTCCTACCCTGGATACCGCTCTTGCCATGAGTCGCGATCTCACCCTCGCCCAGCTTAGAATTTTGGCCGAATATAGCAAAAATTTACATTAATGAATCACGTGGAACTTTGTGATAGGCGTACACTGCTCTTTTTATTGCTGTACATTATTTTAGGTTTTGAACTATAGAAGCACGGGTAGCTTACAGGGCTTACGTTTTCATAAATGACGGCTGCCATATTTTCGTTTGCAAATACGAAGCGCAGACATGTCAGAGGTGTGTGTAATGTGATTCTTATGTGTACAATATTTTACTACTGCATATTTTCACGTTTTAATGAGAAACTGATTGAAGGAAAAATTCCTCACGTCGCTCATTACTCATGGAAGTGATTGAAAAGCTTTGTTGAGTTTAACCCTGAACGGCTCCGACTTCCTCTATTCCAATTTGGTCCTAAACGAGATTTAATAAGGAGGAATAACGACAACACTCCACTCGATACAGTGGAGCGTTAGCAGTCTCGTCAGAACGAAGCGAACGAAATATTTTATTGACAACGATAGCCAATTCGCAATGTTCTCATAAACCATGTTGCTTTTCAATTGAAGATCTGCTTCGATTTGGGAAAGCTTGGCATTCAATGGGTACGAAAACTTAACGTTTAGCGCGCTAAATAGACGAAGTGGACAAATTATTACGACCACGCTCTCCGCAGGTGGCACGTTATATCAACAGTTATTGTCTGACAGGTGGCAAAATATCCCGATTACCTTTTTAATAGAGGATCTTTGTACAAAGAAAGTAAAAATAAGTTCTAAAGCGCCTTGAACAACGTATATTCGGAGAAATGACCGGCATTTCTGAGGCCGATTTTTAAATTTGCATTGTCCAAAAGCTGTATACGTATGACCGTATAACTCGCAAACGAAGACAAAATCGAAAAAAATTGTCACGAGCCAAATATCACCGTTGGGAGATTAGGTTTGTATGTTCAAAGTTTCGTTCAAATCTGTATCGTAGTTTGGAAGAAATGTCTTGTTCACTGTGAATTTCAGCACGTATCGCCATATAACTCACGAATGAAGGCGAAATTTAAAATTTTTTCACGAAGTAAACATCACCGTTAGGTCCTAAATAATATGTGTACCACGTTTCATCGAGCTGCGTTCATTACTTTGGGAGATATTCCTTGTTCACTGAATTTGGAAACCGGCCGCGAGACCGGTCGTAAATTTGTCCGAGATATTGACCGACCATTAAAATCCATTTAAAAGCTTTGGATTAGGATGTCTTACTCATGACATGTTGGTATGGAATGAATTCTAATATATCCCGACTTATTGTACCGAATTATGAAATTAATTATTATTCAACGAATTTTTTCTTAAAAACAAGTTTGGCTGTGATTATTATTTTGTTCTGTTCATATAAACGTTTCTAATGAATCTAATTATTAGATTCATTTGAAACGCTTAGCTTATTTTATTGGTAAATTATTATTTTTAAACTGTAGCAAAATAATGATCGTATACAATAGTACGGTTAATAAGATTGATGCATAAGTTAAATTTCTTACTTTATTTCGACATTTTTCAACATGGACTTTACTGATAACGTGACCACAGGCATATTAGTAATTAATTACTAATTAGTTCGGTAAGGTCAGTAGCTCACGATAATTGGTGTAGTGAAGGTGACAGCCGATGATTCAATGAGTTGAGTTTTGCCAGACGCCAGCAGTAATGCGTTAGTCGGGGAAGACTGCGTGTATTAAGTGCTAGCAAGTTTATACCGTGAAGTTTAGCGACTTGATACCGAGATAAAGTACCAGGTCTAGAATGGAGGTTCTTGTTACAACTTAATTTTACGTCAACGTCGGTGTAGGCTATAATTATGAGGCATTTGATGATTTGACAATTGACATTGTAGAAGGCTGAGAACGGCATTATCGTGACATATTAAGGCCTATTCCTAGTCTTGTCTATTGTTTGCTACACCGGCTGATAGTGATATCTGTGCGATGTAAGGGTTCCGTTGCAAATCAAATTCATGTAGTTGTGAAAGTCTATTCCAGTGTATCTAAAATTTAATCTTCTGTGTAGGGTAGGCCGTTAACTTCGCTAACGTACTGCACTAATGTCGCCGGTTTTCAAAAGAAACTATTTAAATCGAAACCGGAACACAATTTTGGCACAGCTTGGTGGTGCGATCGGAATGATTTTATAGTTACCTATGCGTAAATAGAGGATTAGTTCGTCAAATCGTTACACTGACCCCTATTAACCCAGGGTTTGTATTGACGTGTGGGAAGATAACGCAAGTGATGCAGAGGGGCGTCATGTACCTTCAAGTCTTTGATGGTACACAATTAAATTAAGGCTTGCTTCTAGGAACTAAATGCAACTTGCTAATCTACTTTATTTGGATCTTTCTTGGAATGTGAGAGATTGGATCACTTGAATTTAAAGTTAGGCAAGAATTTGTTATGTAGATTATAATTACTGTCTCTTTATTACTAACCATTATCCTAAGTCCAAACCACCGGATTTTCTTCTTTCTACTAGAACAATCGCTGGCGCGTCCCATTCTAGCAAGACTTGGAGAATTGTGTGCTGCAAGTCTACCGTCAATGCCAACTTGCCAAATCACTTGCCATAACATTTGTGTCGCCAGCCTTAACGGTAACATTTGTGTCGCCAGCCTTAATAGTAACTGTTTAATTTATTAAAAGAACTGAACGGAAGAGAATTCAACAACCTTGTGTTCATTGTTAGTTGTTAGAAATTCGGATCTGACGATCATTAAATAGGTTTAGATGCGAGGTGCCTGTTGAGGCTTTGGTCCAATGGATCGTTGTCGCGTTGACGTTAAATTCCTACCATAAATCTACTGTCTACTCGTTCGTTTCCAACTTCCCATTTCCCGTCGTGTGGAAAAGCCAACTGCGGTTTCTTTAGTGAAGCTCTAACTTGAAGCGACTGATTTTCGTTCCTTGTCTAAATATCTGCCGTCGATGTCATTAACGCAGCCACAGCATTCGTTCTTGGATCTTCAGAGTTCAGACGATCTATCTTTTTAATGCTAAGCGACTGTCACAACTTGAGTCTATAAAGCTTTAGCTCTATAGCTTTCGAACACTTGTAAAATCGAAATTTAAACAAGTTTTTTTACGCTTGTTCTTGACGCGCGGCGAAGTTAATGCTGCAGCTATTGACTGGCGACATGCCATTGACGTTAGATTATCAATCAAACGTGTTTATGTGCATTCTAACGTCCTACTTGGCCACTTTGTTTCGTAGTGGGTATGTGAAAGTAAGGAATCTGCCTCGTGTTTCAGCCGCCCTTTAATGGTAAATATAGATTCCAGTTATTTCTTATTCAGTTTTTCCAGTTTTTATTTAAAGACTTCGTTGATACTTAATTTTAGAATCTTATTTTAATCATGGGCAAGAAATCGCGAAAAAGTAGAGCTCAGTTTGTGCCAGATGTTGCTGCTTTACAAAATGATGGAGCCAGAGCTGCTGGCGGCTATTCTCGTCAACACTCCAGTGACTCGACTTCAAATTCCCCGGTATCCCCTCTACCGACTCCTGCTTCGTCCAGTGCTTCGTCCAGTGCTTCGTCCAGTGCTTCGTCCAGTGCTTCGTCCAGTGCTTCGTCCAGTGCTTCGTCCAGTGCTTCGTCCAGCGATGATGCTTACGTGTGGTCAGATATACCCAACGAAAGGGGTTTAGTTATCTGCCCATTGAATCGGATTCACAGCATGCTGGCTAAAAGTTTGACCCCCCATGTGTTGAAATGCAAGAAAGTGAGTTGCTATCTAGTCTATTATTGTGGGACGATTAGAACTTTTTTTTTCTTTGGACTATCTTGTTATCGATTGTTGATACACACACCTGCTGCTTTTATTAATCTATATACCTGCTATTTATTGATATATTGACGATAAACCCATCATATTTCCTCAATTGAATTGTGAAAGATTTTCAAGTTTGTGAAAGATTCTCAAGTAGTTTTATTGTACTACCTTGTGCTGAGCAGGAATTCCGGAAACTATACGTGTGTCGTCACAACTCAAATCACTGCTTCTCAAATAAAACTGACTACAACACTCACTTCAAGCTATGCCGAGATAGCGTAAGCGCCTCAGGAAACGCCTTGGGTAAGTTGCAAATGAAATATAACGTTCTTATTTGTTCAACTTTTTGAGAAACTTTCTTGAAATGTCAATCATTAGTTCATCCTAAACGGATAGTCTGATGTCCAAAAAGGTGTTCTGACAGCCAAATATGGATCTCACAGGTGCAGTTTACTTTGTTCGGAAAGATGAAAATTCGGAAATTGACGTCTGTTTCCGAACAAAGAAATTCTATTAAAAATTGATCTGTTGGAAATTGACGGTTGGTTTTTGGCCAGACTATTTAGAATTCATTGAAGATGGGCTGAGAAAATTTGTGGATTACTTCTCCTTATCGCGAGGTGTGACAGTATGAGGATCTGCAGCCGAATTGGGGAAACAGGGCCCGTAGCTACGTGAAATCTTTGAACCTTTGACTAAAACTTGAATGATTTGAAAGAAAATTTTTGAGAGCGCTAGGTGCTACGAAATCCAATTGAACTCCTATCTTTAGATGCCTTTGATGGGTCTACCTTCCTTCGAACGCAATCGTATTGATGTACTTCATCCGTACTCAAACGCAGAGTGGATTAAAGCTTGCTTTTTGCTAACATTAAGTGTTGTTGAATGCGAAAACTGATTGGTTATTATAAAGGCATATTCCAGATAAAAATGGTATGTAGTCCCTTTTTGAGTTGACAGTTTATTTTGATATTGAGGAAGCCTACAATTTACGAAATGTTCATAGTACCTACCGGTTGTCCACTGGCAGAAACCCCGAGGCCTATTCAGTAGATACGTTTGCTATTTGTGACATTCACTTGTCCCGTAGACAGATATTGAATCAAGTTTCCCTTAATGGAATATTATAAAAATGGTCTTGAAAATTTCGCCGCAGAACACCCCGATCCCAGCAGCCACGATCCTGACCTCGCCGAGGAGCCGCAGGGCGCCCAGGCGCTGGTTCCTATCGCAAATGCTACGGTAAAGTCGCTATGGGTGAACTATCTTCTATTTGTCAGAACCTAACTCCAAATGTGAAGGGTAGATTTAATTCGATAACCAGTAATGATAGTGTGCACAAAGTTGTGAGCATGTGTTTGTTCACGACCCCGGTGACAAAGTACGAGCAAAAACCTCTTGATGTGCGGGCACCTCTAACTATTGGTACACATGAGTAACTTAATTGAACAGCATAGTGCATATGCATATCCTATACTATATAGTATAGTATCTTCGGCATTGAAGAATAGATCAGTCGCCGATTCTTGTACTTTTCTTGACGAGTTCGCAGATCTAAGACTGGCCTTTCGATCAAATCTTTTAAACGGACGGTAAGTTTGAAATAGTTTCTAGATTTCAATTGTTCCGTAGGATACTAGGCATTTTAAGACTAAAAATATGCTCCTTCATGGCCTTTTCTAGTCTGTTCTAAAGCAATGAAATGTGTTGAAATAATCAAGAAACATAATTATAATCCTCCCTCGCGTAGTTACTAGTCACATATTAGAGTCCCTGACTGATCTCGTAAGAATAGTTTTAGCAATTGTGAGGCTTCGAAAGTTTTCTATTGCATGGATTCCTATTCTGGCCCGGGCATGCTATGGGAGAATTTGCTGTTGTCGGAATGGGTCGAAAATGGGTCGTAAATTTCTCTATCAGAATGGCCATCTCACTAGTTGAAGACGCCAGTATGGTTGCCACCATGCGTCGGTAGAACTTACCCATTCATCTTGCCCATAATCTGTTGTGCTTTGATTACATTTCTGAATGCTAAAACAAATTTCTTTCTAGCTCTTGGGTTTTGGAGATGAAGAAGAGATTTGGGGTGAAGAGAGGCCTAGCTTATCTGAAATTATCTTGAAAGACATAAACTGCACCGCGATCTTCGGCAATCAATTCAGGCGAGAGAATTTTTCTTATAGTTTTGCTTGACAGTCGATATGAAAATTCAGAATTTTGAAAAATGGTAGAAAAAATTAAAGATTACAATAAAAATTAATCAGGCTGCATGAAGTAGAATGCTAAGTAAAATTCATGTTGCTACCAAATTTTTTCTCAGAAAGCCTTTGACAATCTCGGCAGAAGTACATGAATATACAGAAGCAGGATATGTGAAACGCTGCACGTTTGCACACGTTTCACGACTTAACAGCTATTAGCAGTAACACCCGCTGCTGAGAATAGTTTTTTGGTAGATTCTTCTCGACCTTATCAGCAGCATTTCTCCTTCGCCGACAACTGATATTTAATATTTCCATGAAGAAGGCTTCTTAATGTCAAATTTCTAAATATTTTATTCTGCTCAGGCCTATGCCGTCAGGTCTCCCGAAGAAGGATAAACAAAAGTGGAGGAGAGCTGAAGCAGAGCGCGTACAGTGTGTGAACGAGAGGAAGTGAGTGGGTGAAAAGTGTCCCTGAGCACAAAAATTCTAAATGAAAGTATAGAATCGAGATTTGTAATTACGCTATGAATATTTTCTTGCATGCTGATACAAATCCGTGACGGAGGCTCATCTCCCTTCATTTCAGACCCAGTCTTGGTTATAACGATGTATTATTCAAGAATTTCGTTTACTAGTCATTTCATAAATTTCCGAAGTTCATTGCATCCTGGAATGATGTGGATTTCAATTTTTTTTCTGCCACCATAAGAATGGTCGCATATGATATTAAATTATATTATCTGATTATAACCTGAACCTACAGTTCTTGTATTCGTACACATTTGAAGTAATCTATACACAATTACTGGTTTACGTCGATGTCTGATGTTGCTTGTACATTTCAGGCCGTTCTCCGACGAAATGTGTTTTGATGCCAAAATACCTCGTCCCGCGCAAATGCACTACAACGAAAACTTGGCGCAAAACGAAAATCCATTTATTCCCGTTGGACTCAACCCAACCAGCCATTTGCCTGAGACCCATAATGCTGGAACAGGTGCGGAACGATCAGCAGAGTCTACCATTAGCGACTCCGTGCCTCAAGCGTCGACGGGGGCTGTACCTAGAAGGTTTCAACGGTCCGGGGCTGGGGCTAGTTCTTCTCACGTGGAGGAGTCTGAAAATCATTGGACAAGAATAACTCGGCGTGAAGACCGTCGTCGAGGTCGTTAGACCTACTTGAACGACTTCATAAAACTTGGATTAAACAGAAGAATAAGATGAATTTGATAACATTATAATTTGAATTTCAATCGGATTAAAATTTTGCATGGAAATAATGTCTTAACTTTACTTGGCTCAAGTTAGCTGGATTGTGTTAGTTTTGTTCAGAAATATCATTTTATTGAGTAGAGGTTGTTTACTAATTGGACTTAACGCTGGAGTTGTCCAATTGAAAACTGTTCTCCGGCCCTGCTCATCAGTTTTTAACGTGTTGACATTTTCACTTTGTTAAAGGGACTCCCCCCAAGTTTCTCGATTAGAGTTACAGATATGCAAACTTGCTTCTCATTTTCCCATAGACGCGTCAACGCAGGTTCCTCGACAGAGAAACTATTAGTGTTCGGAAGTTCGCGCCTCAATTTCTAGCTTATATTGAAGTCATTGACTCGTTGCTTATTCTCGCAGGGGCAAGTATCGCTTGTAAGACATGCGAGACATGTTCATTCAACTATTGGACTATTTATTCGGGGAGCTTAGTTGGAAATGAACTCCTCGTACTTGCAAGTATAGTTAATTAAGCGTGTCGTATGAGCGATATTGAAAGTGATGCAAGGCTATCCAGAAAAATTGCGCTTTACATGTAAAAGAAGTACCTCTCGCGGCAAAGGTATTGTGAACAGCAAATTTCCTTGCTAGCAGTTGATTTTTATTCTGATCGAAGTGTATCTGATCGTGGGGACCTCATTGACGTATACAAGTATACTCATGGTTGATACAAGGTCCTCGAAGGATTACTAGAATTTGAGACAAGAACCAATCCCACGGGCCACGGCTATAAATTAAAAAAAACTGCGTTGTAACTTCTCCACGCGCCAACATTTCTTCTCGCTTCGAATCACAGAAGAGTGGAAGAGCCTCCCCGATGACATCGTTGGCGCTCCAAGTATGAACGCGTTCAAGAACAGACTAGATGAAGCTATGGAAAAATATATGTTCAGATTTGAAATGCCGAGCACCATATCGAACCCGGTGGAAGTCGAGTAGCTATTTCAAACTATCGTCAGTCATGAAAAGATCCGGTCAAATGACACGATTTTAGACCCTCTGTGAACAAGGCACGAAAGATTCGGCGACAGGCCACATCAGGCCTACAATTCAGCGCCGATATCAATATCTTATTTTATGATATGTATCTAGTAATCTAGGCTTTTTATAGCCAAACCTAGTACATGGTAGTAAACTACTGGAGACGCAGATACATAACATGATTTCAACTTCTATTAGCATGGGTAGCCTTTACATTCTTGTCGGAAATTGAATGAACCTGGCGTCGCTGACTGGAAATGGTGGAAATTCGTGTAACATGGCCTGTTACCGATTCTTGAACTTTTCGTGACTTGATTCACAAGGGATCCGACCTTTGGAACCCGATCTTTCTATAGCTGACGATTGGTTTGAGATAGCTGCTGGACTAATATCTTATTTCATGATATGTATCTAGTAATCTAGGCTTTTTATAGCCAAACCTAGTACATGGTAGTAAACTACTGGAGACGCAGATACATAACACGATTTCAACTTCTATTAGCATGGGTAGCCTTTACATTCTTGTCGGAAATTGAATGAACCTGGCGTCGCTGACTGGAAATGGTGGAAATTCGTGTAATTGGCGCGGCAAGCTTGCAATGCAGCCCAAACTCTGAAGTCTTGGGAGGCTGAGTTGTGTAACAACTCTGATTGTTCCAGAGGTTTTTTAGAAACGGTTATGAGCATGTTTTTTCGGTTTTCCTCCATGTTCGGTTCCTTAAATTGGCTGCTTGACGAGTACTTTGAACCTCTCCTCCTAAAGAAACGACCAGGGGGGAAAAACGTCAACTTGAGCCGCTAAAGAGAGATTGCCGCCGCTTCATCTCGGCTGGCGCGCGATTATCGTTGTCCAATGACTTCTGCTTCATCTTCACTGAGCGTATTCCAAACCGGCAAACTTTCTGGGTTGCGTTCCGAGGTCACTCCGTAAATACCACATCTTGTCAGTGTATGTAGCAGGCCAGCAAGTTCCAACTTCATGCTTCTATCAATGTTCGTATCAGTGGTCGAGCACGCTAGAGGCGTTGCGCCTCAAATCTACAGTCGCGGCTCAAACCAATCTGGGTCTTCGTCGATGTGCAACCCCGCCTGGCTCAACCTCCATACTTACCCTAACTCCCCTTCGAAACAAACCTAACGTAACCTCATTGGCAAGGAGGAGAGTTTGGGTAAGAAGAACTTGGTGGTTGCACATCCATAGAGACAAAACTAACTTGAAAAGTTGTGGATTCGCGGGCGGCGCTACGGCTTTCCCATTTCAGATCTGGTGTGGCTCACGATCAAGAACATTTATTGCAACTGATTTCAGGTAATATTATATTGAATTTGTCGATGTTTGTGTGTGAAAAATATAACATTTCTCGAATGGGCATAAAAATATTTAGGGGAAGAATATTTTAGGAAGGCTGAACCTCTCTGAATTATGCCTAATCACGCCACTGCTTACGATGTTTCCAGCGAGATATGGGACTTCGTGGCTCTGAGGCTATTAAGTTTAATTGTGCATATCTATAGCGAGCATTTGTTCCAGGGCTAGTTTAAAGTTTGTGGTGAACGGCTGTGCACCTCTATCTTCTTTGTCTTGTATCTTGGTCAGTATTTTTGTACTCGAAGCTCCCTCGCGGTTGTAAGTATATTTTTCCCGCACTACTGAGCACAGAACTTTTACTTTTTCCCCTCGCATGCATCGCAACCACCACCGACCAACTTGTGCGGGAATAATGCTTCTAATAGTCTGTCCAGAAAGCTTTGAGCATTAAGAGACGAGCAAGAAGGCTGTGAACAATGCTATAGTCCATGGACTAGTTAAGTGTTCAATTAATTAGTGACGACATTCTGAGGACAACGGAACAAATTTCCTCCTTCGTAATTTGACATAATCCTAGATGTTATCGTATCTATACCCTTCATCCGGGAAAATTAGTCTGACGAGGTTACGCGACCTGTCTCGTTCTTGTTAACTGGGATTTTGTTTCCTTCCATAAATCAGCGTCCGAAAAGATTTTTATAATCTCGTACCACGATCAGTAGGACATGGACATAACTTGACATTCCCCTATCGCAAATATTTTAGGAAACCTGTTTTAGGCCTTGCAAGGTGTTTTTTTTTTTTAATTTGAGCTTTCAATAGATATTGAGGGTCCTTTCTCCTAAGTTGATTTACGTACTTTGGTGGTGTCTTGTTAGGATTTTAGTGATAATGTTTGGTGGGCGTGCGATAAAGATGAGATAATGAAATTGGACGAGTTGCTGTTAAATAGGGTAATCTTTCATACGAGGAAGGTCGCATGCTCCCTGTGACTAGCCCAATCATAAGGGCACCTGAATACTCCCATTCCGTCTCGGTCAGTTGAAGTGGTATAGGGTGGGCCACACCAAGTACAATAAATTTTCAACTGTCAACTTAAAAGTAGATTATGATATAGAGGCATAACCTCTAAATAACTACAAAGAAGTAGGAGACTTGTAAATTTGATCTTCACGTACGTAATATCTATATTTAAGCCCGTTCGACCCCACTAGTCACTAGGGATCACGTCCGAGATTTCGGCCGCTAATTCAATTCCTAAATCAGCCCAAAGCCAACGGCCAGCCTCAGCCTAACCTTTTGCTTCTGCACTCAGCTTCGCAACTATGAGTCGCCAACCACGCTATGTTACCCCAAACCGGACTTGCCTAAGCCTGTTTCGCATTGCAAAATGTATTCCCGTCATGACCAACTTCTCTGGATGTAAACAATTACGACACTAACTAATACGATACCTCGTCTGTAGCAACATCCCGCCTGACTTCTTGAATCAATCAACCTAAGAAACATTTCATTCTTGTGTTAACCTTGTCATAGCCGTTTCGATCCTTGTGAGTTCATCTCCAGAACTAGACCAAGAAACTTGCCTCATACTCTCAGTCGTATTTTAGCCTCTCCCCAACCTTGGTGTTCTTAATTGTCGTAGAAGTTTCGACTTTCTACCTTCGGGACCACTACACGTCTCTCTCAATCTCAATCCCTACCTAGTGCAGGGTTAAACGGTGGCTGTGAATGATTTCATGGGACCTATGCTACATGCCCACTGGAAGGAATACAATGTAAAGCGTGGTGTTGGACGAAGCTGGCTTCTAGCACGCACCCCAGGGGACGTACCCTTAAAACTTGCTTAAATACATATAGCGGGTAAATTTTCGTCTTCGATTTGTGAGTTTAGCTTTAAATGCCGGCAATGATTGGCTGTTGAATTTACGAATACATAATTATTAGTATTATTATAGTACGTCGCTACCGTAGGTATCCACTGGAGCTAATAAATATTACAATCAAGCAGTAAGTTCCTTACAAACATTTACAATTAATATTTTCTATGTTTTTCTCTTTCTGTGATGATTTGATAATATTACCCCTTAGAGTCTATACTGCTTGACTCAAATAATCTCGTCAAACGCCTTCAACTGGAATATAGTACATGCTACTAGTACAAGAATCGTCAGTCATGAATAGAACAAGGATGAACTCAACAGGAGGCTTTTTTTCAAACTGTGACGTATATAAATTTAACGAAGATGAAACTAAACGTAATTAGTTAATTATGTAAATAGGATCATTATTTTCATGCGGATCACTTCAATCCGGATGTCTCAAGTCTCACTAGCATTTCGCAATTCGCACATGTGTTATGTTTAGTACGTTGCAAGTCGGAAAACGCGAAGACATTTTTTTTTTTCTAGCATCAGCTAGGTGGCATTGTCTTACATTTCATGAAACAATTTCATTTGTGATCGCTCGTGGTGAAAAGCTCATTAATCATTAACTTACTCAAGTAAGTTAAAGTTTATCTAACTCGACTTCGAGAAAAACTTGGAGTTGGACTGTTGGAGAAGCATGGCTACAATAAAGAAGCTTCATGTGCTTAGCAGGAATCCTGATCACTACATGCAAGAAACTCGGAATGATATTCCCAAGTGTGAGTACCTATAATTGTCACTTTCTTTGCATCTATAGCCTTGACTGCCTTGTACCTACTATGGTCTGAGTTTAGTATAGAATAGATTTTCAAGAAATTCTGGGCCACCAAAATAAATTGTTACACTGGCAGTTTTCAATCCAATATGAATATGTAGGTTAAGAGGAGTGTCTTGAGCAAATTTTATCATGGTTATTTACAAACGGATCACTTCGAAACTTGGTACACTTGTGTGAAACCAAAATGTAAATAAATGAAGTCCAAAAAAGGGTAACTGCCATGGTCAGGAAGATGT